TTGTCTGAAATAGACACCGTCCTTCGCACTCTCATTTCTACCACTCTCTCCCAAACTTTCATGGTATGACTTAGTAATTTGATGCCCCTATAGTTGTTACAGCTCTGGACATCACCCTTGTTCTTATACAACGGAACCATTGTACTCCACCTCCACTCTTCAGGCATCCTATTAGACTTGAATATAACACTAGCTACGGATAAGCATAAGCAAATGCATATTTAAAACCTTCCAAAGAGTCGAAAGGGTTCTTCACATGTTTAATCTGTCGCGAAAATCTACCACTAATTAAGGCTATGAGCAGGGTAAGATCATAGCAGAGCCGCAGGTCAAGAGATACAAGATTCGGACAGCCATCAAGAATAGCTTGAAGGCCTTCTTTAGTCATACTGTTCCCAATGAGCCGAAGATGGTGCAACGTAGGAAGGTTTTTAGCAATAGCTAGAGCCTCATCATCTTTTCCATCTTCTTTACAGTAAATGCTATTCAATTCAAACGACTTCAACCGTGGGCAAGAGCGTCCAAGAGCTTCAATTCCCTCTATGGTGATATCAGTGTGCGTCAGACTCAACTCTTCTAACATTGGGAGCTTTTGAACTACTTCAATCAAGCCTTCACATACCCTATCATTGCAAAATGCAATACTCAGTCTTTTCAGTTTTCCTGATCTGGTGAAGAAAAGCAAAAAATGAATTAATTGTAGTCTCAAGCACAATTACCAAACACAATGTGGTACAGAAGATTAGTGCAAGTATTCCTGATATAGGATAAAACCAGTTGCTAGCTTACAAAAGGGAAATGAGAAGACAAAACGCGATCTCTGTATAGTTACAGCAACAAATCAGTTTGGCTTTTGGTGTGTTATTAATGTATTTTCTGCTGGGTGAGTGAAGGGAGGAAACACTCTCTTTGATATGAGGTAGAGGTTCGTTACTAGCTGCATGTCTCATAAAGCTAGGTAATATTTATAACTCGTAAATAGTGGCAGAGTCAAGAATTTAAACAATGAGATTCAAAAAATAAGAGAATTTCACACTTAAAAGCAATTTTGGACCCCATTAGCCTTTTCTTTATGTCAAGGGATGCAACTATTTAAATGTAACAGAAAAAAATTCATTTCTACCATATTTGCACAGTATAATTTTTTAACAAAAAAATTCAATTAAATCCCTTTACTATGATTTTCCCTTACTGTTTGACTCAAAAGTTATCGAAACTTTTTTTAACAAATTAATCAAAGAAGTTGAAGAGGTAAATCTTAGCTAAGTATAATAATCTCTAGAATGAAATATAGAAAAAGTGAATAATGATAAGAATTCCTTATCTCGTTTAGACCAAAAAAAAAAGACATTTTTACAACAATCTTCTCAATCCTCTATGTAAGCAAGTTTGCAGTAAGTATTATGGATTAGCCGAAAAAGTGCCCTTACAAGGTTGTTTCATGCTCTATATATAAGGAATCCAACCTTGCTGAGCTCTAAAAGACAAGTTATAGGGAATATTCGTATATGTATCGAATGATAAGCCTAGTTGTATATGTATGCTGCTAGATAAAAGTGGTCTCAATGATAATTGTATATGTATGCTGCTAGATAAAAGTGGTCTCAATGAATTAGGTTGCATCTCAGATTTAGTTGCTTTGCCGTATATGTTGTAATGCAGTCCAAGCATGAAATTTGTACACTGTAGATTAAGTTCTTCCCTTTCCAATAAATTGCGATATATAACTCCTAAAACCATGTTTCAAGATAAAGAACACAAATTCAGGGCCTCAACCTCATGAAGGTCGAGCCCAGGTCGAAGACAGACCAGGCAGGCCCGCGTCGAACGAGCAGTGGCCCAGGTCTGGCCANATGACTTGGGACACCCTAAATCTCCCAAGTGGCGACTCTAAAATAATTAAACCAATCCCGCTTCGATTGTCCTTTGATTGGAAAAACTCCCCTGCGCCCCGCGGGCGCGGAAAAAGGAGGTGTGAAAATTTTGACCAAGTATGTGGAGTTGGCGGAATGCGATGTTTCCATCCACCACTTTTTGCACCTGTTCTCGCCCAGCTTCCACAGGGGTACTATGGTGCATCTAAGGCACCGTGGCACAAAAGGGTTGGTGGTTGGGACTGACGATCGAGCAAGTCACAAGTTTTGGCATAAGTATTTCTTTGTCAAAACTGAACACATCGTTTCTAATTCCGCCAGGTTCCCGGAGCGGTGGAACGAAACTCGTAAGTGTTGCTACTCATTTTACTCTTTCTTTTTCTATATTCGTTATAAGGTTTGTTCGCTTCTTGTTTGCAGCTATGGGATGTCCACCCCGCCCTATTGTTGGCATAAGGGATTGAGTAGCCCGTCTGTTGCCCCATGTGGAGGAAACCCGAGATTGGCCTACCTTAAAAAGTGTTATGGCCCTAGAGTTCCATCTGGTACCACTTTGTTGGTTATATATTGTCGTCTATTGATACGACTCTTCGTGACGACGACAAGTCGAGGAGCTTCCAAGCAGAGGGCGCCAGTCCCTACATTCCGACAGGTCGTTGCTGCCGCAGGGATGTAGTTTACTTTGAATGAGTCTGTTCGAGAGGGTCATCCTCAACCAATTCAAGTAGAGGGTCCCTCTCGGGTTATGGTTGTGAGGGAGGAGGCTTCTTCAATATCGACCCCGCACCTTTTGGATGAATTCTCTAACGGGGATGAGTCGTTGTCGAGAAAGAAAAGAATGGAGCTTGGGAAGGATGTGGCCATGGACGCTGATAGAAGCAGGGTGTCACAGACGGCACCTGTACCCACGTTTATGGCCGACGCCATTTTAGCGGGGAGATCTCCCAAACGGAAGGAGTTTATCCAGGGGTCGGCTCTGTGCGCTCCACTGAGGGCGGCGAATCGTCCAACGTTGGGGGCCATCGTGTCGAGGGTGAAGGCTCAGGTTCAGATGTCGACCCGGAGGATGTTCGCGAATTCGTAGGTCGCTATACTCATGTAGATGCCAAGGCGGAAGGATCTGACCGTCACATAGTCATCCCGGGGGACTTCAACTTGTTGTTGAACTGTGATCAGATGGCGTCTATTCTAGCCCCTCTATGCACTTCCCCGAAAAACGAGGTGCTTAGGGCGATGAGTGACATGGATTTATCCTAGAACGTCATCGGTATGGCCTTACGGGTAGGTGCCTTTCTTTTCCTTTTCGTTGTTGGGCTTGCGTTGTGACTGTCGACCTGTATTTTTGCTTTTAACTTCTCTCATTTTTTGTGCCATACCCTTATCATAGAGACCGAGCGTGAGCGTCGGGAAAGGAAAAGGACAGAATTCTACGGGAAGATGTCTTCCAAGTATCAATAGTAACGCGCTAAGCATTGTGCAATGGCTGATATTTACAATCAGAACCCTGATTTTCAGCTATTCCGCGAAGGACTCAAATAGAGGGAGGACCAACTAGCGCGCAAGGTCTTAGAGCTGAGGGAGTGAGATGAGGAGCTCATGAAGGCTATCGGCCGCAATAGTGAACTTGAGGCCTCCCTTAAGGTGAAGGAGGATGAGCTAGAGTTAAGTAGGGGGTGATGGCCGAGAATGCCAACTTACAAGCAAAGGTGGCCAGTTTGACCGCAGAATTGAACATGAAGGCGGTAGAGATTGAGGGGCTTAAGGGCAAACTGAACGTCGGTGCTGATAAGCTGGCGGCAGCTATTTCTGGCACGACGGCTTTGGAGAATACCCTTCGTGTTTGTAGGTCAGAGCTGACCGAGGAAAAGGAGGCGTCTAAGCTTAAGGTTGCGGGGCTTGAAGGGTGTGTTAAGGAGTTGGAGACGGAGATATATGTGTTGAATGGACAAGTAGCCTCATTGAGGGAAGTGGATGCAATTCGATGCTCTCAACCTTCTACGTCTCGCGCCTCGGCCGACCCGGTCGTGCCTCGTTTCTTATATGAGTTGTGGGTCCATGCTGAGGCCTGGATTGATGTGTACAAGGCTTTTCATGCCGAGGGTAGGGCGACTGAAGCAAAGTTTGGGGTCATGCATACCAAAACTCGTGCAGCTCGGGAGACGTGCGGGTACGACCCTCTTACTCCTGACGGGGATGATATCAACTCTGATGATGCGAATCGTCTTGCTTCTAACTCTTGGTACGAAGACGCATACCCCACCGGGGATGACGTGTGAACTTTTGTTTGTACATACTTTTTGTTTGTGACTTTTGTAAGGGGCGTTCTTGAACCTGTTGTAAAGATTGGTGTAACATTTTGATGTAATGTAAAATTTGTTTTGTCGGTGTGGTGATGATCTTTGCAATATATATGGCATCCGGGGTACCCGTCGAACTGTTAAGCCGATTTAGAAATTGGGTGAGGTTGATTCCTTTTTCTTTTGGCGATGGCTTTAGCCTCTGGGATGCTATTTTCGAACGATCGGCAAAGTGGTATCCCGTCGTAGTTCAAACGAGGTCGAACTGATATTTTTGTCGATGGCCTTGGCCATTGGGATGTTGCTTCGAACTATCGTCGAAGTAGGATCCCATCATAGTTTGAACGAGGTCGAACTGATATTTTCGTCGATGGCCTTGGCCATTGGGATGCTGCTTCGAACTGTCATCGAAGTAGGATCCCGTCGTAGTTCGAATGAGGTCGAACTGATATTTTCATCGATGGCCTTGGCCATTGGGATGTTGCTTCGAACTGTCATCGAAGTAGGATCCCATCGTAGTTCAAGCGAGGTCGAACTGATATTTTCGTCGATGGCCTTGGCCATTGGGATGTTGCTTCGAACTGTCATCGAAGTAGGATCCCATCGTAGTTCAAGCGAGGTCGAACTGATATTTTCGTCGATGGCCTTGGCCATTGGGATGTTGCTTCGAACTGTCGCGAAGTAGGATCCCGTCGTAGTTCGAACGAGGTCGAACTGATATTTTCGTTGATTGCCTTGGACATTAGGATGTTACTTCGAACGATCGTCAAAGTAGGATCCCATCGTAGTTCGAACGAGGTCGAACTGATATTTTCGTTGATTGCCTTGGACATTAGGATGTTACTTCGAACGATCGTCAAAGTAGGATCCCATCGTAGTTCGAACGAGGTCGAACTGATATTTTCGTCGATGGCCTTGGTCATTGGGATATTGCTTCGAACTATCGTTGAAGTAGGATCCTGGCGTAGTTCGAACGAGGTCGAACTAATATTTTCGTCGATGGCCTTAACCATTGGGATGTTGCCTCCAACTATCATCGAAGTAGAATCCCATCGTAGTTCGAACGAGGTCGAACTGATATTTTCGTCGATGGCCTTGGCCATTGGGATCTTGCTTCGAACTGTCGTCGAAGTAGGATCCCATCGTAGTTTGAACGAGGTCAAACTGATATTTTCATCGATGGTCTTGGCCATTGGGATGTTGCTTCGAACTATCGTCGAAGTAGGATCCCATCGTAGTTCGAACAAGGTCGAATTGATATTTTCGTCGATGGCCTTGGCCATTAGGATGTTGCTTCGAACTATCGTCGAAGTAGGATCCCATCATAGTTCGAACGAGGTCAAACTGATATTTTCGTCGATGGGCTTAGCCATTGGGATGTTGCTTCGAACTGTCATCGAAGTAGGATCCCG